TATCAAAAAGTGGTTCGGTAATAAAAGCTGATATCATGATAAACATTTTATCAGTTGACAACTTTTTGATATCTTTCAAAAAAAGTGAGATATATAGGCTCAAAGTGGACGGTCCGGGTATTTTATTTTCAATTTTTTAACAAAAATTGAAAATCCTGGAACTTATTTTAGGGTTTCCTTCAAAGCAACACTAAAAAATCCAATTCACGATTTTTGGAAAATTTGCAGTTTCAAATTCTTTATTTTATCAAGTTCAATTTCATATTTTTATTTCCAAATTGGTAATAAATGAGCTTGTATTCAAGATTCAAGAGAATCATGTGACCGCAGAACTCTCCAATCTGGGCTTTGTGCTTAAACTTAACTTATTGTCCTTCTCCTTTGAAGTTCAATGGAATCGAACAGTCGGAACCCGTTGGAAAACAGACTTGAAGGTTTTGATTGGAAATCATTCAGAAAACAATTTCTCATACCCCCACTAGATTATAGGAAATGATAGATTCTTATTTTCCTAAAATAGGACCACCTCAAAAAATAGGTTGTTAAACGACTGCTAAATGACAATCGAAGAGGCGCTGACTGGTCAATGACTGGTGGTTGGCGGGCCAAATTTCTGTAGAATGGAAAATTTGGTTGAAAAAAGATTTTTCTCTTAAAACATGATAAAAGTCATAGAGGGATCTGGGAATCTATAAAATGTGTTATTAGAAGCACTTCTACGAAAATTAGAATCTGAGGCGCGATTGGTGAAAAACGGCTAAATGACAGTCGAAGATTCGCTGACTTTTCTCGAAGAGGCGCTTTCTTTTTTGGGTGCTCAATTCATGTTACGAACTCATCAATTTTACTTATTCTGAAAGAAAGTCATATAAAAGCGGAAAATACTGTTCAATGAGAGAAATGTTGAGAAACGAAAGAAATCGAAAACGAGAAACGAAGAAGGAAAAAAGAACGAAAGGAACGAGAAAAAATCTTCGCATTTTGAAATTTGAATTTTTATAAAGTTGGAATTTTGCGAAAACACAAATAGAAAATCGAAGTTCTGTTCCCTATAGAATTTGTAATTTCTTATGTGTTTTCTCTCATTCTAATCATGAAAATTCAACTTTGAAAATTTTGGAGTTATTTTTTCAATCTACAGTACCGGTCAAAAGGTTGTAAACGCAAGGTTTTTTGAGCATAACTACTTTTTGAGAGCAGATATCGAGCCAAAATTTTCACCAGATATTTCTGTAAAGGTTTGCCAAATCGTGGCCAAGTTTCATACAAAAATTTGAAAAAATAACGTTTTTTTTGAGAAAAAATTGAATTTTCGAAAAAAAATCAAATTTTGACCAAATTTTTCAAAAAAGCATAATTTCCGAAAACCACTTTTATTCAACACCAAACATATAAAAAATAACAAATTGAATCTAATATTTTGTTGCAAAGCCACGAGAGTCAATGACAGCCTGACATCTGCGCTGCATGGAGTCGAGCAAATTGTCGATTACTGTCTGTGGGATCTTCTTCCATTCCTCTTCCAGTTGTTGGTACTTTTCGTCCACATTTTTGGCTTTTTCCCTGCCAATCTTCTCTCCAGCTCATCCCATAGATTCTCGATCGGATTGAGGTCCGGGGACTGGCTTGGCCAATCCATAACGCGAACTCTGCGGCTAAAGAACCAATCCTAAAATCGAAAATACTTTGAGACATCAGAATCTTTTGTACCTTGACGAATTTGGAAGTGTGTTTCGGATCGTTATCCTGTTGGAAAACGATCCCACGACCCATGGCTTTGTAATGTGGCAGCATTTTGGATTCTAGGATATCCTTGTAGACGTAGCGATCCATGATAGTTGTGATGCGATGAATCGGTCCGATGCCTTTTCCGGAAAAGACACCCCAGACCATACAGCTGCCTCCACCGTGCTTGACGGTTGGTAATTGGTATCTGGGATCATACCGAGAGCCAACTGGACGCCGCATCCATTGAATCCCGTCGCTTCCGAAAAGCATGAACTTGCTTTCGTCCGACCACAAAACCTGGTTCCAATCTTGACGAGTCCAATTGAGGTGTTGCTTCGCCCAGGCAACTGTGGCTTTTCTGTTCTTCTCCGAAATGAACGGCTTCTTAACTGGACGTCTTCCCATGATTCCAGCTGCTCTCAAACGACGTTTGACGGTCGAGGTCGATGGGGAAACCGGACTAATCAATAATACCTCCCGTCCAATCGCAGGCGCAGTCAATCTTGGATTGCTTCTGGAGACGCGGGCAATGTTGATATCATCCAGATGAGAAGTGACACGTGGGTGGCCGATATGATACTTTACTGTTTTACATCCGTGGCTCTTCCAGCGCTTCAAAAATCTAGAAATGCATGGTTTTCCTACGTCAAACTGAGAAGCTAGATCTCCAAGAGATGCTCCATTTTGGTGTCCCCGAAAAATGGCTTTTTGCTCCTCAACGGTCAAGTTACGCTTTTTCCCAGCTCTTGGCATACCTGAAAACTAAAAGCTACTAAAAAAACATTGAAAACATTGATAAATTTTGAAAAAAAATAGGTCTGAAAAAAAGGGCGAAAAACCCGATTTTTTCGAAAAACTGAAAAATCTGCAGAATCGCGTCAGCGTGTTTGCGTACAACTCGCTGACCGTAGTCATACCTTTTGACTTGCCCCTGTAGTTACCAGAAAAAAAATCACGGAATTCGGTTGGGTATTCGTTGAGTTATGCTCGAAAAACCCTGCGTTTACAACCTTTTGACCGGTACTGTATTGTTTATTACCTGTTTAATGATGAACTGTCAAGAAAGCGCTATCATTTTAGACGGTCCGTCTTCGAGGCGCAAATCGTTGCAGACGGACCGTCGGCGGCGCGCGATTCGACTGCCGACTGTTCGCTTTTCGGCAGTCCGCGCCCGCCAGACGGACCGTTTTTCGGCGGTCCCCCTCTACCTGTGTACCACTCGGCCACCTCGCGGTTGTGGTCGGAATTTTTTTCTGGAATTATAATTTTTTTAATCACTTAAAACGGGCTACATGAAACAGAAAAATAGGCATTAAACTAAAATTTGAAATTCTCCCACTTTGGGCTCATATATTTCAATTCCTAGGAAAAATATCAAAACACTGTCCACCAATAAAATGTTTATCATAATATCACCAACATTTTATCAATTAAAAAACTTTTGATATCTTTCATGGAAAGTGAGATAATTAAGCTCAAACAAGATGACGTTCTATCAGAGGGAATGAAAGCAGGAATAAAAATGGGAATGTCAATTTTCCAACTTTCCAAACTTTTCTCAAACTTTTGGAACAGTAAAAAATCTAGGACTTTCCATATCTTTTTGTCCCTTATATACCGCCTATATGAACTTCCAAAAACCGACATGAACGACGTCACCAAATCACTATTCTTATCAGTCTATCATAGTTTTTCTTATATTTTCCTTTATTTTTTATCTAAAGTAGGAGAGATAGACAATTAAAAAAGAGATAGAAAGATCAGAAAAACTATCAAATATACGAATTTTTGATTTTGCTTTTTATATTATTTTTTTGTGGTTTTCAAGGCCGAATTTGAGGGAGATTTGTTTAAAAATTGATTTTTGAAACAGTTTTGGTAGACTGGTCAAACGTTTGCTTTTAATTAATTTACCTCGATTCCTGTAAGGGGTATAAAAAAGTGGCCAACTAAAGAAATATTTTTGATAAAATGATGAACATTTATCAGTGGAAAGGTTTCTGATATCTTTAACAAAAACTGAAATAAATTGAGTCGAAGTAAACGCTTTGAAAAATACTTAAAAATCAATACAAGAAAACAATAGGAATTTCCCGGAAGAATTGAATTTGAGAAAAATATGCAGGAGATGATTGAAGATTGGAAATGTCTACAATTAACCCAAAAAATAACTTTCTGGAACAGCATATTTTTTGTGATGAAAAACATCAGGAATTTTCGTAATCATTCCTTTTGAAATTCTTCAAAATTTTCTAATTTTTGACTAACATCTGCATATTTTAAAATAAATTTTACGAAGTTTCAGAAGACTGAAATAAAATATCGACAAGATCGAAAAAGGTCTGGAACTTTAAACCTAAAAAACTTTTTGAAACTGAATTTTTTGTCATAAAGCTACAAATTATGGAAAACTCTTTTTTTTTCGGTAATTATCCCAATTAATTGATTCACATCTTGCCTTATTACTATTGAAATTGTCTTTCCAATTTCAAAAAAAGGGGGACCAAAACAAAGCATCGTTAAATTAAAAAAAAAATATCTTGAAAATTATCTTTTTGAAACAACAATTCTTGGAAAATTGAAACAAAAATACTTTTACACAAATCAGGAGAAACTAGTTTTTTGTTAAATTAACCACTTTCAATTTTAAAAAAATTGAGAAAACCCTGAATTTTGGAAACAGCAAAAGAAAAAAATTACTGATAACAACTCGAATAATCAATAATTCTCTCCAATTGCAAACAAAAAAAAAGACTAGAAAATATTTGACCTCAAAGATCGCTAAAACAAGAATCATCTAAAATTTCACTTTTTTGCCATATGATCAAAAAAAGACAAACGGTTTCTGTCCTCTGATGACATACATAGTATTAAATTTAATAAAGAAATAGTACAGACAATTCGGAGACGCAGAGAAGCAGAAAACATGTTTTTTTCTTTTTCATGTGCAGAGTAATTGATAAGAGTTAGACGGTTTAAAGTTAACTAATAAATAAACATTAAAATTAAAAATTTTTTTTTTATTTCAAAGATAAAATTGTAAATTTAAATTTAAGTCAAAGAAATGCAAAAAAAGCGGTTTGAAAAAATCAATAAAGCGTCCCAAATTTTCAAAAATCGGTGGTAGTCCCATAGAGCGCGTTTGCAAAAAATAGAAAAAAGTATAGCAAAATGAGGAAGGCACTGGCAATATGTACGCATTATAAGAGGAGAGATTAGGAATGTACAAGAAATAGAGAATTCCAGAATTGAAATATTTGAAAAAAAATGTATTATCGAGAATCGTCGAGTGTCATTGAGCGCATTTCGGTGGAGAGACGGTTACGGCGGCTGAAATTTTTTTTTGATAATTATAATTTTCTTGATTGCGGTACTTTGAAACTACCGTAGCCTAACCAGGCTGCTGTACCGATTTAGACTGCCTGGAAAATCCAAAAAAAACTCCAGAAATTAATTTCTAAAATATTTCCGTTTCAAAATCCTGTCACCATGCCGCAAGCTAACAGTTCAAATCAATCTGAATGCTTCAAACAGTATTTAAAGACTCATGACCAAGACTACAGCAACCCTTCTCACCTCCTAAAATGATCCATTGCTGGTCCACTGCTACTACTCGTTGTCCTCATTCTCGCCTCCTCCTCTTCTTCCATTTGTCCATGTGCTGAACTTGGTCGACGACTACTACTACTGGCCAATACCGTTAGCCCTCCAGATGACGTCTCCACAGATTCTGATGATGATTTCCCAGGCAACACGTGGTTTTGCATGTAGAATGTGGAACATTGCCAGGGGATCTGAAAAAAAACTTTTTCACATTAATTCCTGTTTCAAAAAGTTGTTTTTTTGAGTTAACTTCAAAATATTCTCATTTTCATTGAGTCGAATAATTGTTCCTAACAAGGGAATCTCGTTCAGAAAGCTCTTCAGAATTTTCTCTAAATTGACTCATTTATAGAATCGAGTATGGGCTTTTACGTAATAATAGTCTCTACCTGCAAAAATCGCTGAAACTCGAGAAAAATTGATCTGAAATTATAGCATTTCCATCAGTCTCATCGCCTCCCTTCTCCTCCCCTTTCTTCACTGCGTTGCGTGCAAGAGTAAAACATGTCTCGGTAGCCTATTGGCTAGCAGGGAGGACCAACAATGCACACATGCAGGTTCGGCTCCTCGTTCTTTTATTTTTATTTTTCTTATTTTTTCAAACTTAAAAAGTCGTTTTCGAAAAGTTTGGCAAATGGGAAACACTTTTCTGAACATTTTCTATGATCTGCAATGATTTTCGAATAATTTCAAAAAAAAAATTTTTTGCAGTGAAGAAAGCAGTGAAGAAAGGGGAGGAGAAGGGAGGCGATGAGACTGGTGGAAATGCTATAATTTCAGATCGATTTTTCTCGAGTTTCAGCGATTTTTGCAGGTAGAGACTATTATTACGTAAA